AGAAATCATCAAATTGATAAATATATTTAAAATTGATTAATCATAGTTCAGTACTTGTATTTTTTAAATAGATTTGTTTTTGTTTACGATGAAATGAATATTAGTATTTAATGAACCGCATTTTGTATGTATCTCATTATTAATAGTAGTCTTCTGTACATCAAATTTGTGATTTGTGAAAAACTTTCCATTTCTTGCCATTGTACTAACAAAAAAAAAATGCTAGGGTCATATTAGACTCGTGCCAGAAATAAATAAACGACTGTAATGCCAAAAGCCCCTCGAGAAAGACTAAACAAAAAACGTTTTCCCTCTCTCTCATACTCTTCCCTCCATCCTGCCTCCCTCTCTCTGTCTACAGACTGAGCTGCGTGCGTTTCGTCTCAAGTGGTTTACACAATTTTCTTGATAACGCTGCGACTTGCCACTAAATGTTTTTGGCGTCCGTTAGTGCAACAACGCAATGCGCAAGAGGAGCAAGAAGAGCAAGAAGAGCAGGAAGAGCAGCACAACACACACATACACAGATATATTACATTTTCAATTTCTCAGTCGATTGCCAGGTAATGCGTCTAAAATGAACTTCAAATGGCCTCCCCCCAGATAAGACCTAGACTCAATTTGATATGTAAATTTGTGTTTTGTTCGTTCGTTATGCGTTCATTGATGATTTTCTCGTTTCTCGATTTTGTTTTCTTCGAATTGACCCGCACTGAATGAGTTAGTCGTGTGTGTGTGTGAGTCACTGGGGCTGATTCACGGAAATTGGCTGATGCTGCAATTAAAAGCCATAAAATAAGGGGCAAACGCCCACTGGAAATCAATTGTGGACCCGTGCCAAGGCCACGTGTGGATGGAAGCCTCAGCTGCTGCTGCTGCTGCTGCTGCTGTTCCTGTTGAAATAACAAAGGAGTCACACAATGGGCCAAAAACTGCAAAAAAGGAGGCAAGGTGAAAGTGTGGCAGAAAGAAAACCAGAATGGCTCGCAGCCAAGCGCAACGAAACCTTTCACAACGCCTACAAAAATGTGTGGCTTGAGACCAGGTAGCAAGGACATGATTGTGGCACACCTTTCTCTCTTTCTCTCTCTCTCTCTGCTGGGTTGACAATAAATTATGAGTTTCAAATGAAATTTTATGCATTTTACATGCTGAATTACGAGCCATTCATATATTTTAGCCATGTGGCATGTGGCATATGCCCCTGGGCCATGTGAGCCCATTCGCCGCGCCCCATTTTGCAGCTAGTTTAAATTGATTTAAAGTTGCATTAGGCGGCTACGGCTACCTATTTTTGTGGTCAGGCTATAAATCTTCGAGATGTGTGTGTGTGTGTGTGTGTATAACGGTAAAATATGCAATTATTTTCACTTTTCGCAAGCATTATTCATTTGGCAGTGAAAGCGCTGCATTTGCTGCATACTTTCAGGCGGCAAAGCCATGCATAATAAATTTGCTTTGGGACGCCCTACACGCAGTTGGCCGTGTGGCCAACAGACAGATGTTATATAAAATGTATAAATCTACAGAAGTTGCCATGTATTATTCCGACTGACAAGATAATAAATGTAATTTGTGGTTTTCATTTTCATGGTCTATTTTCATTGAGAATATTTCGAAAGTTTCGAGAATGTTTTGTCCGTTAAAATATTTTATGTAGAACCAATTACCAGCAATTACTTAGAAATTACCAAATACTCTTGAAGTATTATCAATGATGCTTAGTAATTGAAACTATTTAATTATTAAAGAACAATAATAATTACTTTTCAATTACTCAAGTAATTTACATTAATGCTAAACAATTGTTTGGTAATAATAGTAATTAAAACAACTTATATGGAATTCGAATTTAAGGTGCGCTTTTTCTCGGAGCAAATGATTCACTTATGATACATTTTACAAACATAACCCATATAATATGTCTGTTGTGGCATTCTCCGTTAAACTATTTACCTGAGCCACCTTTGTGGATAAGTGTTTTATCTTACATCAAACCGGCAAACAATCGTGCAACCTTTTCAGCTCTCCTCTCATCCACTCGAAACACTTTCACTAGCCACAGGCACCTGACACACACAAGCACAGACCAAACACACCTGTACAGGTCTCATTAGTGTAGCCAACAAATAAAAAAAAACAACAATTTCGAATAATAATAGCTATAATATATATTTTCACTAATTCTACCCACGCTCAACAATTGAAATTATGATTTAGGTGAATGTTTTGATATATCGGGCAAATTCAATAAGCCAAAATAATAAATAATAAAACATTGACCGATTTATGAGCTGATGCTTGATTAATGTTTGTGTGTGCGTGTGTGTGTGTGTTTTTTCTCTCTAAAAGTGTCCTTAACAAAGGCGGCGGTCAAAAAGGACAAATACCACAATAATAAAAAAGAAGCCAACAAGAGAAAGAGGGAATTCATTGATTAGACGCGGGACCGCACACAATGTTTGGACGCACTTTGATTTATCGCTGGCCCATAGCAAAGAAATTAGCTTAGGAATTTGGGAATTGGAATTCGAATCTCCACATATTATATTGATATTAAAGCCAGGCCCACACAGCAAGTGGAGCTGCCTGCCACTCTACTCTACTCTGCTGTGCTCTGCTCTGCTCTGCTAATTGAAGAAACACAGCTGCCAAATGAAGTGCTCAAAAAGGATCTTGGACAGCTCCTACATATAATGTATGCGCCGCTGCTTCTCTTATAGTTTTTAATTAAGTACAACAACGCAGCAAAATTGATTTCACATGACTCGGCCACAGGCACTGGCTGCATGTGGCACTTATCGCCAGCAGAGATCTCTCTGAGAGATGCGACCAGCCCGATAAGGCCAATCGCCAATAGCCAACGGTTTGCCGCGCTCGTCGGTATCATATTTAATATAGTTTGTAAAATATTTATAATCGCTTATCTGCCGCAAGGATCCACGCCTTGCCACGACTAGCTGGCTGCCAAGTCATTAGGCCGCATTCGAAATTTGTTAGTTGTTAGTTTTTTTTCCATACCAGGCGTGCGCGCGTTTCGTGCGCGTCTTCTGCGCGTTTTTAGCCGCTTCTCGGTTATGCTGACTGTTTGTGAACTCATAAAGCACACATGAGCGTATTTTTGTCAAAATTTTTTCAAACTAAAAGCTCATTTAAGACGTTATGCATAAATTATTGGGAAATTTATGCAGTGCCTAAACTGAGCCCAAGTTTTCCAGTCCCAGATGCCTATCGCAGGCATGGCCATAAAAGCTATAACTCGAATGGAAATATAAGTAGTAATAGAGACAACTGGAAGACATTGATCACAGCAATGATAATATAAATTCCAATTAAGTTATCGGACACAGTTCTTCGAGTGAGACATTCAACGGTAAACGGCACTGGCAATTACAAAAGAATAAATTTCCAATTTCTCGGTTCTTGGTTCTTGGTTCTTCCCAGTTAGTGTATCGGTGAGAAACTATCTAGTCTGACGTCTGCGTCTCAATGTCTCTCTCTATATGTAGGTATATATAAAGTGCTGACCGTGCACATTCAAATTATGGCATATAGGTTGACCAGCTCGACTTGACATCTTTTTAGCCACCACATCAGCATCAACGTCTCTTGGCCTGGCCCCGAGGTTTGCTGCCGTGGAAAAACTCGCTTCGCTTGTGGCCCTAATGAAATTATTAAAAATGCATTTTAGTTCAGCTCACAACAACAAAAATTAAGAGGAGTAGAAGAAGAAGATGCATAACATATGCATAAAAGGCAGCCCCAACAAACATAAATAACCTGAACTTGCCTGCAAGTCCCCCAATCTGCAGTCTCAGTCCCCATCTCCATCTCCATCTCGAAGACTCTGCCTTTGACAAAACTAATTATGCATTCATTTTGTTTGCCAACAATTAAGTGGGCCATGGGCGTGTCACATTTTTCATTTTGCTTATTAGTAGTCGGTGCCCAAGGATCGTATAGGGATCGCCAACCCTATTTGATTTATGATAGCCACATACTTGACTTACCATCCCAATAAGAACAGAATCATTCGGATTCTCTCCGCTTGTTGACTCAATGCTAGAAATAATCTTTTTGTTTGCCACTGCTTTGACCTAGTTTTCTGTGGAAAATATGTTGGGCTTAAATAAGAAATAGTGAAAAATGAAAGTTAATGAAGATACAAGATTAAATAAAGGTTTTGCATAATTCTTTATTAAGTTTAAGAAATAATGTTAGGTAAATTTAGAAATTGGACTTTGATAGTCAAAACGTATCTAAATTATGTACAACAAAGAAAATTTATATTTGAAGTTCAATTTTTATAGACTGAGAACTTATTTAAACCAACCGAAAATAGAATAAATATTTTATCGGCTAAATAGAACTCTTTACATAAAATGAATGTTATTTAAGTGATTGTTTTGACAAATAATTTTGAACTACTTTTGTCATTTACTGTAAAACCAAAGCGGCAGTTCTTGGCCAAGTTTTTTTTTTGGCACTGTCTAAATTAAAGAAAGCTGTAACAATCAACTTGGAAATGCAGCCAAATAGCAATGCAACTGTTGACCGCAACTACCAAATAACCAAATAACTCATTGTGGTGGCAAGTGGCAAACTGGTTCGACAATCAAATTACCATTTATAACAGCAACAACGACAAAAGCAAGACAGATCCAGATCGAGAGCCACCCACGCGTTTTCCACTGCTCTCGCTCATCTGTTGCATGCCACAGATGCCACAATTGCTTTCTAAAAGAGACGCAGACCCAGACGCAGACGTAGACACAAAATCAGTCGGCGAACATTTGAATTTTGCACCAAATTAGGCGCCAATCTCAGAGATCTTTTTGCTGCGACCAGCAAAGAATTTCATGGGCGTTTTTCTAATTTCTGGGCAGCAGCAAGGAGATTTAGAAGACGAAGAAGAAGAGCTGAAATTCCAGCAGCAGCTCAGGAAAGTAATGTGGAAAACGCCTTATCCGGTGGCTGTGGCAGCCGATACGCGGGAACTGTCAACGCTGCTGGAGCCACTTGCCACTTGCCAGTTGGCCACCCAGGTTGCAACCGGGACTCGGACTCGAGCTCATTGGCTGGCACTTGCCACTTGCCACTTGGGCCACCGCGTGCAGTTGACAAACGTTGACAGCGGCGACAATGAAGCCAACTGCCCCACATGCCCCCAAAAACCCTGGCTGAAAGTTCAAAGTAGTGATGAGCAGACATGCGATATAAATATTAAAATACCCTTCAGCATTCATCAATATCTTATAATCATTTTAATATTAAATTTTAATTTGAATTTAATTTAATTATTAAACATTTATTTCATTTATTTATTTTTATTTTGATTTGATTTCCATTCCAAACTTTGTTGAGTTCTTGTGTCGTGTCACGACACGTGTTCAGCACGCATGTTGCAAGTTCTGTTGCTGCTGCTGCTGCTGCTGCTGTTACTATTGACATTGCCTGGGAGTGATCAGAAAGAAGCGTTGCACACACAACAACAACTACAACAACAACGACAACAAAGACGATGACGACGAACTTGATTTCTTATTTGAATATGTATTCATTTGGAGCGGCAGCGCGTCGCCATCGCCATCGATCGTGACAATCGCCAACGCAAGTGCAAAACTCTTCACTTCATGTGTCGCCAGCAACTGTGTGGCGATCTGTGTGGTTGCCACTCGCCACTTGCCACATGAGGCTGCCTGCTGACTGCTGACTGCTGCTGCTGGTTGCATCTCGAGTCTATTGCCTATCAGAGGTGATTAAAATTGACGTTTGCCGATGTGATGACGCTTACATGTTATGAGATGCTCCCCTCCCTCACCTCCCCCCTCAACAAACCCCTTTCGTTTTTCCCATTTCTCCCCTCAACACTTTCTTCTGCTAAACGTTTTCATCATTTTATGAATTGATCAATTTGTTGTTGCTGTTCTTGTTATTGTTGTTGTTGTTGTTGTTGTGGCTAGCATCAGGCGCATCGTTTGCTTTGTTTGTTGTGGCCATTAGCGTCACTTGATGGAACTGGAACCACTATGCAACAACGATCTCAACGATCCCAACTATCCAACAACTAAACAACTATCCAACGACTATTGAGTCGTGCCGGGTCTGACTTAATTTATTTCAAACTGTTGCAACTGCAAATGGAGGCAGCCTTCTTTCTCATTGCGAACCAACGATACACTGCAAATTATTTACACGCATAATTGATGCAGTTTTTTTTTAGATAAACGTTTCAAATTAGTTAGTAACTGTCTGTATATCGTTTGAACAGCTCGAAGACAATTGAATTCAAAGGGTGTAACCCAAAAATTATGCTTCAGCAAATTTGCAGAAAATAATCGAATTCGCAGCAAGAAATGTTGCAGGTTTTGCATTGAAGATGCAAATTTAGTTGAGAGATTTGTAATAATTTTGAAAATAGTTAAAAGGATATTCTTTGAAATCTACTCAAAATGCTACCAAGCACTTCAATAGTATATTTAAACCAAAATAAATAGTTTTAGATAGTAATACAAATTTTGATATGCATTTTAATTGTGTTATTTATTATGCTCTTCACACATATACTTTTATTCCTCACACTCTCCAGTGGACTTTTGGTATATATGTGAGGCCAGATGTGCTTTCGTTATGGTTGCCATATTGGGTCACATTGACTCAAGGTTGTCCGGGGTTGAGAGGTTGGCTCTGGACACAATCCATAATATCACATGACACACATTTATCACACGCGATGCAATGTCGCCGACCATTAATCAAATTGTATATGCATATATACTATATACTATATATATATATTTGTGTAGAAGTGAGCCCTTGGCAAATGACCAAATGACAGCCATGGATGCAATAGTAGCCAGTATTATGGCAGTTGACCAACTTGACCAACTGGCCCAACTGTTTTAGCTGACCTGACGCGACGTTTGCCGTTGTTAATAAACAGTGCAAACAATTTGAACGGCAATTAGTGCACAGCTGCTAATTTAGGACAGCCCAGCAGAGACTATCTGTGCCGTGTTTGGCTTGTGTGGAATGTGACGACCACACGGCCAGAAATTTGTATACACATTACATATACCATATACCATATATATAAATATATATGTGTATGAATTTATATAAGGTAGACATAACAAACTTGTGGCGCTGATTTTAGCTGTTGGCCAGGAAGACATTGAGACTTCCTCTCAGACGCCCAACCCCTCGCCCAACATATTGTGAGCATTTCTCTTTTTTTTCGTATTAATTTTCAACCGCAAAAAAAAAAGAAGAGAGAATAAAAAAAGATGCGTCTGGTTCCAGTTTTCAATTGAAAAACCGCAAGGCTGCAGGCGACCAGCCGCCCTTTGTGTTTGTCCTGTCGTTGTTGCCACCGGAAGCTACTGCATACTTCGGCTGTTGTGTGGCATGTCCTGTGCCTTGGCTTTTATTTAACGTGACGCAACAGAAAAGCAGAAAAGCAAACACACAAATGTCCTGTCAACAGTCTTTTGATCGTCTGCCACCTTAGCCACCTTAGCCACCTTTATTTGGCCCTCGCCGCTTTCACCTCGGCCCTGAATGCCTTTTTAGCCGCCGGCTAAACAGACAACTGCTCTGACGGGATTTACGATGACTTGCCACTTTTTATTGTCGGCATTTTGCATGTCCAATTCAGTCGTATTTCACTCTGGACTCTGGCATTGGCATTGGGCTACTCATCACCATGTGTGACGTCATAAAGAATTAAATTCCCTTGAATGTTGTACAATTGTACAAAGTGTTTCAGGACTTTTAGTTTAATTTAGTTTTATCAAACAAATATTTGTCATTGAGAAAAAATGACCAAAATAAAGATCACAGAAAGCATTTCCTATGGAATTTATAATTCTTGAAATCGATCAACAGGAAATGTAATAAAATGTCAAATTACTTCCGCCACAAATCATTTCGATAATCATATCCGTTAAAGTGCAAGCTGCTATCTGCTATCTCACATTCCTCTTCACGGCTAATATTAAAGTGGGTCATTAATCTTTAGTCCAATGGCATATTTTCTCTTTCGGGGAACTTGCAATTAAATCACAATACGAAAATATGTAGTGATGTCTGTGCGCTCATATCAGATATAGTCATATAGGTATTTTCACAATTGAAAGGAACAACAATGGTGGAGGGCGAGCTATAAAAATAAATTAGTCCAATCAGAAATATCTGAGTATTCCCATAATCTAATAGCTGTTGTTGCCTTGTGTCGCATACCTTTCGACTTATCAGGTTATTTTGGGACTTGATTTGCGTTTACAGGGAATCGCAGCTATCAGGCGTTGATCTATTCGAAAGGTTCTTCAGCTGGGTGATTCCCGCCCCAAAAAGCAAAATAAAAATTGTTTAGTGCAGTAAATCAATCAGTCAAAGCAAAAGCAATCGTAGCACGTTGAGTTGTACGCTTTAACTATCACACTAAGTCTCCTAACGCCTCCTAATTAGCCAAAGATAAACAAAGCACAACGCAACCGTGACCTACTACAAAATCACCAGAACTGGAACTGGAACCAGCAAAAGCCTCGCGTAATCGCAAAAAAGACACACACGTATTCCGTGTGGCACAGGACAGGGGAGACTGGGGGGAGTTCGAAGTCTTATGTATTACTCGTAAATGTGCGGCACCATTCGGTGTATGGCGCAATTGGCCGAAAGCGGCTCGTTTGTCACGGATTGTTAACGAAATCTATGGGGACCTTATCAGCAAAGCCGACCGGCCAACTATCCAACTGGCCAACTGTGGCCTGATCTAAGCCCGGGCGGCACAAACGACAAACAACCAACTAAGTGGCTTCTGTCTATGTTCTAGTCTAATTACAATTACGTGCCCAGTAACTTTAACTTGCAACATAAGCAATGACTTGGGGAAAATCCAGGAGCCAAAACGTGCCAAATATCAGCTTCAGGCGCCGTATAAAAGGTTTAAGTTATTTAATGTGTATAATTGATATTAACTGATGGGAAATCGTAATATTCGTAACATTGTCTTTAACTTTCGACTGTGGTACCTTAAATTCCCAGACGACAAATCATAGTATTATTAATACACAAAAATTCGTTAACATTGTCGGCGCTCTTCATTACCCCTCAGGGTTTTATTGAGGCATTTTATTGCATTTATTGCACATTGAATTTGTCACGTTTTCTGCGCCTTTCTTTCTGGCCATAAATGATCGTCTGATATCAAAGCCAAAATATTCAAGTCACAACAGTCACGTGATGGCAATAGTAAGGCAATTTTAAAGTGTTCAAGTTTACGATGCTCTCGAAAATTCAGAATCGGTCATTAACATATCATTAACTTAAAGTTCGAGTACTTTCTACTTATGTGCTAAGTATGTGGCCTGATGATTTTTATGATGTTTTTCCTCTAAAATTGGGCGATTTCGTCAGATGGCGCTGACATGCTGATAGGAATTGACCAAAGAATATAAAAAGAAAAATGAAACAGGTTAAGACCTTAAGCCCGCTGATAACTGGGCAGGCGGGTGGGCCAACAGTACAGGTGCATTTCAAAGGTACAACAATTTATAATTCTTTTGCCATTAGTCATCGATTCTTTCGGCTGACCATGGCCGAAGAGAGTGGCTCTTATCGGTGGCTGTTATGATGATGATGATGATGACATCACTTTCTGCGACCCCCGATATCGTCTATCGATAAGACGCAATTTGCTGATCGCAAATGCCAAAGACTGATTATCATAGGCCCCATTTATGGTTTATTATTTTGATCCAATCATAATTAGGAGAGGTTTGCTAAGCTGATTTCTTGTTGATTGTTTCTCGCTGCGCATTTCTGCAACTAACTTTGAACATCTTCTCAACGGCGTTTTTTCTATCGAATTTTATTATATTATTAATTACTTTTAATATGCGCCTTAAAAATACCTCCACAATCAGTCAACTTTGTCGGCTATTCACATGATTTGTTTCTGTAGTACTAGGTCAAGGATGTATCGTGCAATTCTTATCGATAATATTCGCTAAAAATTACTTGGTCAACATTACTTAACATTTCTTGGTGTTGGACACTTAATGTGAACTGGCGACATTGTTAAATCCATAAAACTCTGCAATTTCATTGTAAAATGACTTCTAACTAATTTCTGTAGATAAACAGAGTCGATATTAATCGATAGGAATTATATCATGAG